ATGATGATGATGATGATGATGATGATGATGATGATGATGATGATGATGACTCAAGTAAAGCTGACTAAGGGCCCTTGACCAGAAAAAGTATGGCTCCTGGGTCCGTGCGCGAGGGGGTCCGATCTCGGGCGATACATAAGTCAGCAGCAAAGCACCCTAACCCGTTTGGGTGTTGGGGCCGGTCAAACCCTCGCGCGGTTGGGACGTTCTGGTCGCGGTAGACACACATGCAAACCATGGACCAGGGATCAACACGTGCAGATGTTGCGCCTAGCAGCTCTATCAAATCTCTTTTCTCCGAATGTCATGGTGGGGGTTTAGGTGGGCGGCGCCGATACGCCGATCTCCGCGGGCCGGGAGATCTCGGGGTATCCGGCGCAGATTTGGAACCCACGGGGTGCCTGCGCCATGCCATACCATGCAAGCCCTTCTGGTGTTGACTCCGCCACATCCCGAGTAAACAGGGCAACCTCCTCTCACCCCCTGCCACGTGGGACGACCATCGAGCTCGGACGATGGTGGTCGACCGATGCATTTGCCCATCGACGAGAGGAGAGGCGTTCCACCGGTCGGTGCCGATTCCACCGCAAGTCGCGCAAGGGCCACAAGGGCCATGCGAGATGACGAGATGAGGGATGATGTTGGATATACTTCTGTGTGAACCAGATGACATGGTACCCTTGGAAAGCATCTAAAATAGGTGAAGCTTTCCTCATGTTCTGCATCCCAAACCAGGTGACCATGATGTGGGAGACAGTCATCTGCTGAAAAAGCACTACCTGGAACCCCAACAACACGTTGAAAGGTTGCAAAACCATACACCTCTACTGCCAGTGTCTTTATCGTGAAGATAAACCCAACAGTTCGGACTGATCTGGGTGTTGCACGTTGCGCCACCTCTGGAAGTTGGCACATCCAAAAGAAAAGGCTTCGACTTTGGAGGACTGGAGGGCTCCTTCATGCACCAGCTTTGGATGGCTGCTTGGGCCGGCCACTTCGCCGGCCACTTCGCCCAGCGTCCAAGTAGACCACCCAGGCATCGGTCAGCACCGAGAAGATCATCTCCTGACGTGCAACAAACCATCGCTGGCGGATGGGTGGGATGGAGAGGATGGGGAAAGCTTTTGGATGAGACGTCCGAAAAATTAAATATCCAAAGTCATCCCAAGTCAAGCGGTGAAAAAGGGCTTTGACTGCTGAGGGTCCTTCAGCAGCTGACATTTGGATGGATGATGGGCCTAGTCGAAACTAGATCAGGGTACTCATACAACGAGAGTAGGATCAGAGTTCCGATTGGATGGATGGGTTCATCAAGGCGATTTCATGATTCCTTCAAGGTGATTTGGATGGATGGTATGATCGGGTACTCACATGAAGAATCATGAAATCACAGTTCCGACCAAATTGCCAAAGGACGCGGGCTTTTGCTGGTCTTGAGTCTAAGCACAATGCAGGTTTGCGGCTTGCGTCCCTGTCTCTGTCCCGAACTGATCTTCGGCATCAGAAATATGTTGATTGCCCCTGAGGGATGATGGCCTCGCTCGCTTGATGTCCAAACACGGACGTGCCTAGGGCTGGCGCCCCTTTGTCCCCCGGCAGCAACTAATGAAGTTCTCCTAAGGATTCAGAAGGGAGCTCGTCTGGAAAGAACAATTCTTCTGCCGCAGCATGCAGCAGGACTCTTTTCACGGAGCATGCATGCAAAATCAGACCTATGATCAACTCACAAACTGTGGCCTTCAGCTTCATGAGGGGAACCTTGCGCAATTGACCTACAACATGCCACTGGTCGATCTGGAGCGCCGATCCAGCCAAATACAGTGCCATCTGACTAATTACGTTTGTGGCCTCCCTGTCAGCACTTGCCTTGAGCAATTGATGTACCACAGGCCACCGGCTGTTCTGAGATGCCAAATGCAGCGCCGTCTCACCGGCTGCTGTTGTGGCCTCCTTGTCAGCACCTGCCCAAAGCAAAGCAACCTGCCTCAGCACCTGCCTCGAGCAATTGACCTGCCACAAACAAAAAGCCGCTCTGAGCTGCCAAATGCAAAGCCGTCTCACTGGCTACTGTTACGGCCTCAGCACCTGCCTGGAGCAAAAGACCCACCACAAACTCATTGCCCGTATGTGCTGCCAAATGCAAAGCCGTCTCACTGGCTGCTGTTACGGCCGCAGCACCTGCCTGGAGCAATTGATCTACCACTATCCCCCAGCCCCCCTGAGATGCCAAATGCAGCGCCGTCTCACCGGCTGCTGTTGTGGCCTCCTTGGGCAGCGCCGTCTCACCATTCAGGAGGGAATAGATCAGGAGACCAATTGGAATGGACGATACGATTCCTAACACTATTCTAATATAGATGCCCACCAGCGCAAGGGATGCCTTGAAAAACTTCCTTGCCTTGAAAAACTTCCACCCTTTTTTGAGTGCGCCGAGTGCGCCATCATCCAAACACAACAATGCCCAGAGACCACTGCCCTCTGGTTGATCCATCGGGGAAGCGGAGGAGGTTGATGCCTCGCCGTTTGGACACTGGTCGGGAATCTCCTCTTCTCCGTCTTCTTTTGAGGGCATCGCTTCTGGTTGGTCTGGCTTTGGGGGTACAGAAGCATTCCGACGAGCCAAGAATAATTTCCTGTGTTTGGCTGCCGGTGGAGGTAGAACAGCATTCGGACCATCTTGAGGAAGCTCCTCTGGTCGGTCTCCCGATGTGGGTAGAAGAGCTTTTCGACTGGCTTCCAGAATCTCCTCAGGCAATGCATCCACCATGTTCGCGTCCCCTTTCTGCGCTGCCAAATACAGCGGCGTCTCAGCAGCTGCTGTTGTGGCTTCCTTGTCATTACCCTCCATTTGTAAGGCGATTGTGTCAGCATTTCCAGTGAAGGGTGTGGGTAATGTAAGTAGAAACACTATACTCATCAGAATATTCATGATGCCCACTAGCAACAGGCATGCCAAATACTTCCCCAACCTTTTCTTGTGGCCGCTGTGCTTGTCGTCATCCAGCAAGGTGGCCAACTGACCGCCACCCTCTGGCTCACTGATCTCTGACCTGTGGTCAATTGGTCCTTGGGCAACATACCCACTCTGCTCAAAATCTCCAAGCAAAGCCTGAACCAGGTCCTCGTTGATCCCACGACGCCTCAGAAGGTTCATCACTTCCTCCCGGGGAATGCCTTCTCTGGTCATTTCCGTGTGGACATTGGATGCAGATGGAGCATCTTCACTTCTGATCTCGCTGGTCTCAAGGTTGGCAAACAGTGATTCATTTGGTCCCTCCATGTGTCTGCGATCTGTGTGCGAAACCATGGTATGTAAAGTGTCCGTGTGTCTATGATGATAGCGCTCAATGTGTCGCGCTTGTTGCAGGATGTCTCGCAGCACATCATTGTGTCTCTCACCTTGGATCGAAGCTCGAGAAAGGTTGAAAGCAGCAAGTGGGGTGACTAGACTCTAGACAAAGCTAACATTCCCGCGAGAATCACCATGGACAGAAACTGCAACACAACTTGGTCACGTAATCTTGTTGGCTGACAAAAAGTAGGCTTGATTCGGGAGACAGAGAAAAAAGGCTCCTCTCCTGCTACGAGGAACCTTTCTAATTTGATCAAGGACATTTCTGCACTTTCTCAAACGGGAGTCAAGAAGCAGCTCGGGGGAGATATGCAACCAGTTTCGTTCCCTTTCTTGCTGAAGAGTTGAGGTATCTAGCAAGTCATTACAATCGGATAGCACAAGGTAGTACACGCACCAAGTTAGTCTATGTGAGAGCCTTCCCAAGGTATCAAACCGCGCAAGAAGATAACAAGACAAATCCGACGATTGCTCAAAGTGACTCAAGTCGACAAGTGCTCTTCTCAGATTCATATGTGCTGCTTGCGGGGTGACCTCATCCGTGGCAGAATCTCCAGTCGGTTGAGCAGGGCCTTCAATCCTCCACGGCTGATTCACAAGGAATGGCTGCACCCAGAGTAGAATATTCCGAGCAAAGTCTTCTTGCTGTTCATCAACTTCATCCATCTCTGGATCATCAGCAAATAAATGCTCATGCTGATCCACAAAGTCTTTCATACACCTCACTTGCTTCTTCCACCATCGAGCCTCAACGCACCCTTTGGAGTTTTGGCTGGCCACTCGTAGCGATGAGAGGCATTGGAGGTCATCTGGTACAAAATCAATGATGTCTTTGACAAGGCATTCCGTCCAATATCGAGCTTCACACCATCGAGCATCGACACTTTCTTTGGCATCTCTGCTTGTGACCCTCAAGGCTGATAGGCATTGCAGGTCGCGGGGAACGAAGGCAAACACCTTTGGCAGCACCTCTCTGGGTAGCGCCGACGCCATGAAGCCAACAAAGGCGACTTACTAAGTCGTGGGGGGTTCCAGTTAAAAACACTCCAGGGATCAAACAATCACACCCCCCCATAGGGATACACAAAGCAAACACATTCCAAACAACCAGCCAGCCGGGTGGTTAGAGGATGTTAGAGGTAGGCTTGGATTGACGATTCACGGTCTTTTGCTGCCAAGTCGGTGTCAAAAACCACTGAGCCGAAAAAGGCCAGTGATGAGAAGCAGCGCCTTCTGAAAGGCCCGGCATGCACCAACATCAAGAGATTTGGTCCTTGACAAGAGCCAGGCTTTAAAAAATTATATACGTTGAACCTATCAATGTAGTCGAACCAAAAAGCCCCGGTCCAACAAATCCATCAGCTTTCCTCTGCTTCGTTCTTCGTCCAACCGGTCGTGCGGCCTCCAGGAGCGTGGCGCGGACCACGGCGTCGGTGTTGGCCACTTGCCGACACAAATCACCTGGGCCGGGTCGGTAGAGAGGCTTTCCCCACGGGTTCCTCAAAGCCCATGAAGGAACGGCTTGGGGGGTGGAGGTCTTGTTTTCATGGGGAACGGGGAACTGGAAGTAGAAACTAGTTGAGCTTCTTCATGAGATTGGGTCGAGATCAAGATTCCTGCATCACCATCCTGGGGGAGCCTAGGTTGGTTTCTATCCCCAATTCTCGACTGAAAGATATTATGTCCATGGCTCAATGTGCTAACACGCAGGAGTCTCTGCCAGGGAATTGCATTGGGTTGTCCGCGGATTTGTACCAACCCAGACCATCCGTGTATGGAATATATGCCTACGTCATTGACCCCTGAAACCATCCCAATGTAGGTAAATAGGCCATACATGAATGGTCATGGTCTAGTAGTATCGCAGTGGCCAGGACTGCCCTTCCGTCCTGAAATGGCCCGGTCACCGGTGTGGCTCGCTTCCGGTGTCCCAATGAAACAACACGTTTCCACTTTCCCCGGCTTCAATCGTCTAATTAGATAGCATAAGCCCCATCAACGGTGACTGAAGAGGGGATCTGTCTGTACAAACACTACTTCAAGCGGAAAAGTCACTGTAATGAAACAGTCCGCAGACTAGTACTAAGCCTGTCCAGGGAGCGAAGAACGATCGGAACTGACCAAGCTCCTCTACTTCCAAAGATCCATCCCCAGGCCACAGGTCCCCCATCTCAACTGAAAGAACCCCCCATCCTGCCGCCCACGCTTCGCTGCAACACCTTCGCTTCGCTGGGCGCTTCACGCCGCGTGGGAACCGACATCTCCGACCGAGATGCAGAGGTAGATGGCCGAGACCACCGACAGCGACTCTAAGCGCTCCTAGGTTTTGCGCGGCGAAGCGGTGGAACGCCCGCGAGGAAGGCCGTCAAAACAAGAAGGCCTCACAGGTCTCACGCGCATATTGGGAGAGTCAAAATAGCAGGACATGGCACGACTGTAGCTATCCTAAAGGTTTGTGGGTAGGTGTTGCATCGATCTTTTGCGGTACAATGAAGTAGATTGAACTTTTGAACCATCCAAATCTGTCCAATTGGGTTGGCCCAAGCTGTAGACGAGGAACATCCGGAGTACCCAGTGTTTGCTCAAAGGTCCATGGATCGCCCCTGGTTCGTGCTTCGATCAATTAGGAGCTTGACTCCTTTCTGCAAGGGACGAGTCGGCAAATGGCTGCAAGTGGTTCTTGTGTTTTGCCACTAAGTTGTGTAGGACAGTTGTAGAAGAGATGCATGTTCTTGAGCTTCCAAGGTTCCCCCCCCGTGCATCAGAATCTACATCACTTGCTCACTTTGGAGGGTCTCCAAGTGTTCGTGTGGTCGCCACGATGCACAAAGGTCAGTTCAGTCCCAGGCACATAGTTGAAGATGTGACGATGGAAGCCACAGGCCATGAGCATGCCTCAGGGATGTGGCGACCGGGGTCGCTCAAAATAGATGGAACTGAAAAGGAGGAACAGATCAATACCTAGTTTAGTGATGTCTAGTGAGTGTAAAAGGTGTACTGACACGAGTGTCGCGCCTGTGGCAACTCTGGTTGCCACTAAACACTTCCGAGATCTATAGGGCATCCCCAAACCAGTCTGCTTTCTGTGGCTCCAGCCACCTCCCCCCATATCCCTTTCTCGCAGTTTCACCCGATAACAAAAAAAAGGCAGCGAAAGGCGGCGGAGGGTTATTCACATATGGCTGGAGCTTCTACGATGACCTTCGACCAAGCCGTTTGACCAAGACCTGACCGGAGGCTTTTAGGTGCTTGGATGTCACAACGTTGTTTTTTGAGGTCTCCACCACTTGGAGCTCCATGTGGTCACTGCGGCTTAAACCCGAAAAGAACCCCTCCACTGTTGCTCAAGTGGACCTCTTCCATCAGTTGAACCTCCTACAACTCAACCTGACCCCCTCCAAAATCATTGCGATCATTGGGGGTTGGAGTGGAAAGGACTATTAGACTCTTCCAATCATCCGACCCACTCCCCTGCACCTCCCCCGCCCCTGGCCGGTGCGGGTGGGCGTTGGCGACCCACAGCGCCCGCTGTGGCCCGGTCGTGGAAGAGAACACCGCATCCATACAGGTGAAGGGACGACCGTCCTCCCTACCCCCCCAGAGACAGAATAGCCGTGTGGTGGTGCAAAATGTCTGATGGTTTGGAGGTCTCCTCTGAAAGCAACTGCATCTGGAGGATCGGCCCCAAGACCATCGGAAAACCTGCACTGTCGGCCCCCTCCACCTGTGCCCAGTCGAGTGACTTCCACTCTTGCCATCCAACTTCACCTCAACTGCTGCCAGTCCCGAAATGGACTTCGACACAACTCCGACCTCTGGAAAGTCCGCAAAACGTTGCCAAACACGGTGGTAGAAAACGTTGCCAAAAATGGTCGGGGCTTCAAAAGCGAATGTAGACTCTTGATGAATCAAACATAATCAAATAATCAAACATGTCCATGGATGGTAGAACCTCTGAAAAGGCCTGACGGGGGGGGTGAAAGTTAATCACGAGTCTACATTGGTGTTTCAGTGGATATGCTGCTCCACTTGGTACAAATACTTGACCCCAAAAAGTGTGACGGTTCAGGGAAGTGCCTGAGACAGCGTCGGAATCTGTTGGATGCTTCAACCGACCCTCTCCCATCAGCGAAGCATGAAAGCAAGAAAACCAGGCGCGTGCAAGGAAGATCCTCTTCAAGGTAGCTGGAACGGACGTTTTTCTTCCAGAGAAATGCATTTGATGGCAGAAAAAAACATCAGCTAACGGACTTGTTACTTGTTTAATAACTACTCACTGTCAGCCTATCGGATAGAAGAAACGCCGGACCACTCTGGGAAAATGGGGCCCTCCTTGGGGCCCAACAACAGCACCGTTCGCTCCAAAAGACCGTTCTGGACGGCCTCTCGTGTACAGAGGAGAAAGGGATGTCTCCACTCGAACAGGTGTTTCTTCATAAAACCGGTCGGTTGGTCGAGTTGCCCGGATTGAGAGGATCTGTGGATTTTTGGGAGAGAAAACGCACCAGAGATTCTCTCCTTCCCCAAGTCTGTGCCATGTAGAAAGCCAGAGACATCTACCGGGCATATATACCTCCGACCTGGTGTCCAGTTATCTCCAGTTACCTCCATCTTCTCCAGAACACCCCCCCAAAAAAAACATCTCTTCCACAAGTTCAAGCAAACAAAAAGAAGATCTCCTCCAAAAACTCTCTTCGACATCTCGTTCAAGGAGCGATGTTATGAAAGAATTGCATCAAGTAGTCCACCAGCACCGGGTCTTGCGATTTCGACACCGCCTTGGTCGCGTCCGTCGAGCACGGCACGTTCTGGCACAGCACGTCGTTGTTTGGGGCGGAGGACCCTTCGCTTGGCCAAGTTCCGGGGAGGTCCTGGGACCTGGGATGTTGAAAGGATTGAAGAACATAATGTGGTTTGGCTCAAAAAAGGAGGAGGTTCTATATAGGGTCTTGCTTGCTTTTTTGTTTCTCACTTCCAAAGGCATGCCTTCCAAAGGGCCTCACAGCCTCACGGTTCCTTTCAATTTGAGCCATGGTAAAACAACAACGGTGACCCAGTTCCCCCAAACAGATCCCTTTGATATCCCTCCTCCAAATCAACCTCTCTTTCTGCCCTACCTACAGGAACACTGCATCTTCTTTTCAATCGCAGCTTTGGAGGCCAAGAAAACACAACCTGACGGTGGCTTTTCTCTCGCAACGCGCTTTGGCCAGCAGTCCTGAGGTGGGTAGTCCTGAGGTGGGTACCCTCAAGAATCGTGAAAAGAAGAGTCATCAAGCCTGTTCAAGCTGATGCTGTGCACCATCTTCTATAGTGGATTGAGTGAGAGTAGATGGCACAATCCCCCCGAGGAGGTTTATATAGAACCCCATCCAAAAGACATCTTGGGGGGTGTGCCATCTACTCTGAAACCACTGTAGTATCTATAGGACAACGTCCACACCCCAGCAGTGAGAGAAGTTCGATGCAACCGAGTTTTTCTGATGTTCCTCTGCGTGAAAACCGCACGTGATCCCTTGGCGCGTCTTGATCGATGCTCCGCACTTCGCACGTGCTTTCGCAACACGTGGGGCGACTTAAGCGAAGCAAGGTGCAATGCTCAAGGACTCCAAGTAGGGCTTGGAGGCCAGTTTGGACTTGGCGGCGCGGAGGCAGTGCGGGAAATGACACGTCGTTGCCGGCGACAGGGGTCGCAGTACACGGTCTAGAAATTGAGGAGGCCAAGACCAGCAATTGAGGAGGCCAAGACCGACATGTCGTCAGATCAAGATAATTTTTGGGGTCCAGGAAATACCAACCTTCGCCCCAGGTTCCGAGGTGCTAGGGTCCCGAGACAGGTGCAACACTCCCTGAAGGAACCATGGCTACGGTTGCGTGGATGGCATCATACTCTTCCATCCACCTCCAGCATGATTTCAGGGGACCAGGCAGGTTGTGCGATCCATCCCTATCCACATACCGAACGTGAGAAGGTGATTGGAGACTATTTATGTAGGCTTGGAGGATCCAATTGCCTTCTGAGAAGGTATGTGGAGCCATAGGGCATTCACCGCCCCGAAACGCAGGTCAAAAGACTGCGACCCGCGGCGACCCGCGACCCTCGACCGGTCCCCCCTTTTTGGGCGTTTCGCGACCGCCAACGAACTCCGCCTTGAGCGGCGCCTGCGGCGCCGGCGCCTACGGCCCGCGGGAGCCTACCGCGCCCGCGCGAGGGGCGTCTCACGCTGTTGGAGACATAATTGGCCACTCAAAGCGAGTGCCGGACAGCAGAGGCTGAGGGGTTGAGTCAAAAGACAACCCCAAAAAAAAGAACAGCTATTTTGAGATGATTCGCTTGGATAGGAGATCAGATCTGGACGAGAACCTGGTGGTCCAACACTAGTATCTTCTTGAATGGAAGAATATATCAATTGAATGTCAAGGATCCCTCCAAGTGCAGAAGCATCTTGAATTCTCTTGTTGTCCTGGGTCTCACTCTCTCCTCCAAGACCTTTTGGAACAGGTGGAATTGATGAGATGAGGGGCCTTGGCCTGCCACGACTCTGGCCGATAAATCCAAAAGTATCCCTCCAAGAATCCTTATAGGCCGCCAAATTGGAACTCCGGGATGTTGCACGGTGTTCCACTGCATGTTTTTTCTGGCGAACTGATCTCCAAGCTGTTAGGGGCTCCACCAATTGGTGTAGACAAACAGTCAAACGACTTCTCTTCAAACCAACGCCATTCGCTCTCTGCACAGTGTGTCTCGGCACTTCTTCGGTTGAGCCATTCGACCAGGTCGCCTCAGATTTCCTCGATCAGGTCGCCCTGAAGTCTCGATACACCCCGTGCAATAAGCGGTCGCCGTGGGTGGATCGACCGGTCACGGTGTGACTGCAGAAGCACAACTCGGGTCTTGGAGTCAAGACGGGTTTAGGGTTTAGGGTCCTTGGAGTCCAACAAAAGAATGAAACTGTAAGAAAACATGAAAGCAAGCGTCGCGCCCGTTTTCCACCTAGAGTTCGGGCCACTGTCATCGGGCCATGCAAGTCTAAGACTCCACCTTGAAGTTAGAGCGTTCTAGCTCTGACTTCACCTCAGGCTTTCAAGGTAGAGCCTGGCATAGTGGGGGAAAGTTGTCGTCCCACTCGCCCATGATGACTATCTTACAGAAAAGTCCGTAGTCATGCTTTTCTTCCATCGTCCAGCTGATGATGTGGTCAAAGCTCATGTGCGTGTACGTCCTGCTGTAGATGGATGCCAGTCGGGTCCTGATGAACTCTTTCAACTGGTTGGTGTTGAACAGGCCCGCTTCCAGCACACGCCGAGCTCGTGGCTCTTCTTCCCTCTTCATGTTTTTGCAGAGCATTTCAAAGTCCCACCAGTCACCATCCACTGGCGGAGGGTCGAAAGTGGTGCAGCATCATTCACAAAGCTTGGGTCCTCTCGCTCAGAGGTTGTCGGCTTGTAGTACCTGTGGTATCCACTCACAGGATTCCCCATGAAGTACTCCTCGCCACTGAAGGCGTCTTCTTCTCTCTCCAGCACCCTGTAGTCAGCCAAGGTGCCAGTCATGGGGTCCCAGTCTGTGATGATGTGCCCTGCAGTCCTCTGCTGAAGCTCTGTCTCTCCACCTCCATCAAACATCTCCTCGTCAGGTTCGCTCTCATCAGCTTCTTCTGCCACCGGACTTGGATCCTCACGTCGATCTCGCTCTGGTGTTGTGGTCACCTCTTCTTCTGGCCTTTCATTCTCTGGAACTTCTCTTTCAGGTCGTTGTAGAGGTGCAGGTAGGTTGCGACCTCGTCTCACCAAGTTCCATTCTCCTCTGTTGGCTGCCAACCTTGCCCTCATGATCATCCCGATCTCAGCAAACTCATCTTGCTGTCTCTGGAACTCCATGGTCTCTTCTTGCCTCAAGAAGCGAAGGAGGGTCCTGAGGTACACTGACCATTTCACTCTGTACCTGTAGCCACAGTAGACACCATAGAAGAACACGAAGATCGTGTAGATGGTTAGCAGCTTAATGATCAACCACCATGAGTAGGGCTCCTCAGGCATCTTGTTGTCTGCAGCATCATCAATCCTCTCTCCTCCGACCTTCTGCTGAAGTAAAAGCAAGGTTACAGCACGCACCAAAGCTGTTGGAATTTTGATGCCCCAGCTGCTTTTCTCCTCCACCACTGTCTGGATCATTTCTTTCTTCACTTCTTTCATCTGCTTTGCCAACATTTTCTTCTCCAGCTCTTGGTGGAAGGTATCTTCACCGACCTTCGAGAAGACCTCGTCCTTGCCCTCAGCATTCATCTCCATGATCCCGATGAGGTGCATCACGAGGTAGGTGCAAATGTCTTTGCACTGGAGGAATCGCCACCTTTGAACTCTCGTGCCACGAACCGGCACCTCCTTTTCCACCGCTTCTCCAGTCATACACTGACCGTGTAGTCAAAATGCTCCCTTGTTCGAGCTCCTCCTCAATGGGTTCTTCCAGGACTTTCATCTGCAGCAAGCGTTCAATCTCTTCCTGGCCGGCTGCCTCCTCAATGATCTTCAACTCCTCCTGGCTCACTTCAGGTGGGTGTCCCTCATCAAGGTCCACTGCTGGCCACTCTTCAGCATCTTCTCCATCCATATAGGACTCCACTTCTTCTTCCCAGGCCTCATCGTTCACGGGGTAGTGCACGTCATTGACATAGATCCGGCTGATGTTGCCAGCATATTGTGGAGGATACAGACCGGCTGATGGGCTACTCTCTGGTTGAGATCTGGAAGCTTTCGCTTTGGGTTCACGCACTTCTGAATCATCCAGTATCTGGCCTTCATGTCGAGGCGCGGGGTTGTTGGTCTCCTGTGCCCCACATCATCTTCATCCAGTCTAAGAGGAAGGGGAGGAACACGAAGATATTTCTCTGCTGGTTCATCTGTAGGTTCTCCTTCACGCCCTCTCTTCTCACCTTTGCTCTCACTTGCTGGACTGTCATCTCCTCGATGCTCCAAGGCATAGCGCTCCACATCATCAGCGTCTTTGTCTCGCATGAACTCCTGTTCACCAGTCTGACCACCTGCTGGTGTTTCCAGTCCGCTAGCTTGAGCTTTTCTTCCAGGACCTCGGACTCCTCTCGGAACCATGGGTGTAGCTGGCATCAACCTCATAGGCCTTCTGATGTTGGGATTCCTGTAGGGTCGTGTCTTCACCAGAAAAACATACACTGACCTCCAAGGCTCACTTGTTCTTCTGATTGCCTTGCCACGTAGTAGTCCAGTGCTCCCAATCACCAAATGAAGGTCATCCTCACTTGTCTTGCCAACCCACACTCCAGGTAGCCACTGAGGTCCCTGCTTAGCTCCTGGCTGCTTGTTGAGCACCATGACATACTCACCAAAGCAAACAACTTTGCCGATGTACCTTCGACCAAAGGCAATCTCAAATGGCGCCGCCTGAATGGCTCGATGAGCTCCAAATCGATTGAGCAGCCATGCAGCATGAAGGTAAGCCCACTGCCAAAGAGGGTGTTCGCTAGGTATGTTCAGCTTGCACTTGTCTTGCAGCATCTCCATGAGAGTGGAGGCTTGGCGTCTCAGGGGATGGCTCTCTCAACCCTGCCAGTTTGACCCTTCTTCATCGTGAAGATGATTGTCGTCTCCAGCCCCAAACCATGTCTCAGGGTCTTCACGTACGTCAACAAAGCCTTCATCGTTCGCTCGCTGTCACCAACCACCTCCACATTGCCATCGTGGTTGAGGGAAAGCGAAAAGCGCACCTGCATGCTCTGCTTGTCCTCGAAGATCTGAGCCCTTGCCATCCACAGGAACACAAAGCAACATGCGAGTCTCGCAGTCAACACCTGTGAGGACTGTCACCAGCTCGGCATTCTTGTTGACCTCATCTGGCCTTGACTTTCCAAAGGCGTAGTCCAACTGGATGGAACAATGCCTTTGTGCCTATTTTGCTCTCTAAACAACCTGTTGGCCGCGGTGAAGAGCTCTCGATGTTCCATCTTTTGGACCTCTTGGTTGATGCGGGTCCAAAGGGCATTCTTGGATCCTCCGCGTCCAACTCCAAGAAACTCGGCCGCTTCTCTCAGTGCTCTCAGTGAACTCCTCTCGCTCAAATCAGTATTGTTGGCCACCAGTGACTCCTTATTCTCAAACATGGGGATTGGGCCGCTCCAAGGATCACCTTCTCCATCCCTCTGCTCGATCTCTTCTGCTGTGACCTCTTGCTCCTCTTGAAGCTCAAAAGGGACACCAGGTTCTTCACCGAACTGAAAATCACCACTGTCCACGTGAGCTCCTCCTGCTGTGACTGTTTGCTCACCAACAACACTGCCGAAGAAAGAAACTGGCTCCTTCTTGCGACGCAGGATGGTCAATGTCTGAGTGTCCATGCCACAGCACTCTGGGATCTCGGCATCAGGCTCCTCTTGGGTGTAGTACCTGTTGCAATGCTCAACAAGCTCCCAGGTGTCGTCCATCTTTCGAATCAAAGTGGATCTCAACGGCCACCAGTTCAAGTTCCACATGAGCTGGCCATCTACGAAATTCCTGGTCTCGTAGCAGAACTTCATAGGGTTGCCGTCCTTTGTCGTTCGCCATGCTCGAAGTCCATAGTGAGTCCAGAAATCATCATTCAACTTCAACACTACCCGGACCGCCA